GATAACAGTTTTCGTCTCGTGTTTTGGTTTCCTCGCGCTTACTTTGACAGAGTGTGAAGCCGTGAGCTCGTGCAGTCGGAGCAGACAGACGTCACGACGCTGCTGGCGGACCAGACGACGTTCCGAGGCTGTCTGAGCGGGACCTCCGTCTGGACTGAGAGCAGAGAAGGATCCCTGAACCATGGATTCTCCTGAAAGGTAACGCTGCTCTTATTTTTATTTTTTATTTGTAGGGCACGTGTAGTATTGTCTCGGTGTTCCACCCCACGGGTGGGAAACTGTTTAGCATCTTTTCATATTGTTGTACCAGTTCATCCCCCTCTCTAAAATGCTGGAAAATGAGCAGATGGTTGACATGCTCCAGTGTTAAAGGAGAATGTAGCAGCTTGCTCTCAGCTGCGTGGAAAACGCCGTAAAGCTGCTGTTTTACAGAATGCAGCAGCAGCTTTTCAGCAGGCAGGATAGGGATGGATCGAAGCAGCTGATTCTGCAGCTGGACTCAGCTGATCAGTGTGTTTCTGTTGTGAATGGACCTCTCCGCGCACATTGATCAAATGGATCCCACCAAAATGCTGCAGCTCTGCACCGCAGCCCGACAACATGCAGATGGGAAGGCATGCTGCAGAATAATCCCTTGAGCTCCACAGAAAAGCAGAGGTAAAACAAGCCGCCGGCGTCCCACAGCGGCATCCCCGCATCATGAAAGGCCTTATTGTTGCGGGGCAGCAGCCAGGCACCACCACGCACTCCTTCAGACTGGTGATTACACACATCCAAACTCATGCATCCACTTTCTGTTCTGTTCAGGAATAAACTGAGAAACCTGCGTGTTTTAATGCAGGGGTGGGGCCTTCATGACTAATTGATTATAAAAACAATTTTTTTAAAGCAGCCAGAATGTTTCCACTTGTCAGATTAAAGCTGGTTTACAAGCCATAACATTATGACTACTTGGCTAATATTAGGTCTTCCTTTTGCTCATGGTCTTAACCAGTTTAAAGTGCAGACCAGGTCAGTGGTGATATCTGATAAGGCTGCACAATATCTTGAATATTCATATTGCTTTCTGCTCTCGCTCCCTTGTTCTCCTCTTCCTCCTGCTTTTGCTCTGTGTGTGTGTGTGTCTCGGAGCTCCTGGTACACATCTTCAGAACAAAAAAAAATACTATTATGGATCTGGTAAGCTGGACTTGCAACGCAATCGACAAAATCTTTTCAACAAAACGACAGAGTCCTGGAGAACCCTCATGTCCTGCCGAGACTCACGCTGCAGGATACATCAGGGATCCGTGGGGAGCTTGGCAGCTGATGCGTCTTTCAGTTTTGTCTCAGGAGGACGCTGAAGACTTTTATATAATTGGATTCATGATAGCAGGGTTTCTGCTTTTTGGCATCGGCGGGTCCCTATGTTATCAACTTTTGAAGAAGACATCGGCAGCAGTTTCAGCCATGACAAAACTTCAGAGTCTGTGTGAAGGTTTGGTTTGTGCTACGAGTACTCAAAATCAGCTGATTTACAAGCTAAACCTTAAGATGGAAGCAATTTGTGAGAATCACAGCCCACCTGTTTCTTCTAGGACTCGCCAGCATGTTGGAGTCGACCTTGAAGAACGCTCATAGCACGGATCAGTGGAATGCCCATAAATTTGGCCATTTTGGATCTGGAAAGTTCCAGCAGGACTCAAGGCTGATGAGAAAAAACAGTCTGCCTGAAAAAAATCAACAGTTGTGGCTTATCTGAATTTGACTCCCCCGTTTGGTTTCAGATACGGGCCGACTATCAAATTTCTCCTGGGACATGTGTAAACTAAGAAAAATAGCTTTGTATATCCCCCCCCCCCCCCCCAATCCCAGAGAACTTCTGTGCAGGCTTATCAGAACTGTGCCGGCTGAACAACAACAACGTCTTATCAGGACTATGGCTCATCTGTTCTTCATGGACAAATCTAACGGTCTTGCCGTCAATAATGTAATAATAATAATAATTGTGTTTATAAATGTGCTTGTGTTTTTTGATGTCTCAAATCATGTCCTGACAGGACAAGATGTGAAGAGATATTTTTTGTAATACCACTGTCCATCCTCATGGCCTTTTACCTTTTTCTATCTAAAAAGTATTCAGACAAAGGATAAGGGGCTGTGCTCCAGTAGCAGCAGCAACGTGCACTCCACCCATCTTTCGGACAACTGTACGAACATAATCTCACTGTCTCCCGGTACAACAATAATAAAGCTTATTCTGATTCTAATTGCGATATCAATGATTCCCCTAAAAACTGCATTTACAAACTGCAAGCAAAACATACAAATGTGTCAATCAGATGGACTCCTCTAATACGGAGGGTGGGATGTGACAAAGTGAACATGGTAATGATTGAGCATGTCAGTCTTTTGCAGTTGATATTGTCATCGCCATGTTCAACTATACTATTGCAATCAGTGGTTCCTCTTGTACTGGGCCACCCTAAAATCTGGTACCAAGCAATCAAAAAATAATTTTAGTCCCAGAACCTGTGAGATGACGCCTCCATTGATGTTATCCAACCAATCCCACCTTAACTGAGATCTGAGGACTTTGGAGGCCAAGTTAACTTTTTAAACTTGTTGTCTTTCTCAAACCATTCAGGAACTCCATTTTTGCAGTGTGACAGGCAGCCTTACACTACTAAGAGACCATTTCCAACTTTTTTTTTTTTGTTATGCTGTAAATATGCCCTTACTGTACAGTCACATTCATATTCTGTTTTTATATTTTCTACCTTTGTACGACTGCATTGTTCAATTCACTCGTCACTTTGCTGCTGGTACACCTGAATTCCCCCCTGAGGGACAATAAAGTTTATTTCTATTCTATAGAAGACCACTTTCAAAGGGCATCATTTCCATAAGAGTGTACTTGGTCAGCTACAGTTTTTTGGCTGGTGATACGTGTTGAAGTAACGTCTATGTGAACGTCAGGCTCCAACATCTCCCAGCAGAACTTTATCCACTTTCTTCTGGCTCCTACACATTTAATGTTATGTTTTCTCCAGTAAAGACATGCACATGGACTCATCCCCCCATATTATGCAGGATATAAAACATGGCCCCTCTGACCAGACTACCTCCTTCTGTTACTCTGATCCAGTTCTGATCTTTAGATACTTCCCAGGTCAGCACCACCTGTAACTGCTGTTTTTATTGGAAGGATTCATTTCTGATTCATTTCATATATACAAACTCTTCTAATGTATGAGATAAGAGGAGGGCAGCCTTGACCTACCACGTGTAACAGTGACCTTTGAACTCCCATGCTCTTGTTTGATGATTGATGAGTTCATGGTCTATCTTCTTTGGACCATTTTTGGTAGACCTTTCCATCAAAGCTGGAAACATTTGCCAAAAGCTGCATTTGTGGAACTGCTTTGATCCAACCATGTAACGATAACAGCTAATCTCCATTTAGAGCTGCTCAGATCCTCACTTGCTCATTTACCGTGTTTGGTTCCAACTCAGAATTTACATTGCTTTTTAAATGCACCCAACCCTTTGTAAGCAGCCACTGTATTACAGGATAACCACTGTTCTTTTAGCTTATCTGCCAGTGGAGACAATTGCTTTTGCTGAGTTGTGTATGTAACCTTACTTTGTCTCCATTCACACTTGTCCCCAGGTGAGTCTGCAATGCTTTAGGCTGAGGAGGAAAGCAGCTGAGGAGAAGGAGATGGGCTGCACCTCTGCAAAGCAGGTGTCTTCTGTGCCCAACAGTGAGGAGGAGCAGAACAAAGCCCACAGCAACGGGGACATTGTCCCTGGTAGGTACTCTATAGTTAGTTTTATCTTGGAACTTGGTGTTTTTTATGGGTTCGCTTGAAATAAAAACACGTGGGTATAATTTGAGGGTATTCAAGTCGAGGAAGAGTTTAGAAACCTTTGCTCTTTGGTGCCCAGAAATATTTTTCTCAATGAATCAAGCGTTTCTGGACAAAATGAAGATGTCAGCAGTGGAAGATTGCGGTGATAAAGAAGATAAATACATAAAACGCACTACAGCAGGATTTTTCAACTGGTGGCCCACATCCAGTTTTAATTAAAAAAAAGTGTTTAGGTTTAAGTTTATTGTCATAAGCAGATCAGCACAAAGTCAACAATAGAGTGAAATGCACAGGACAAGAAGAACTGTCTCGACTCGCCAAAAAAAAAACAACAAGAAATATGAAAGCATACAACAAAAACACAAAAACAAGGTTCCAAAAGTGAAAAAGAAACACATCTACAGCAGCATGGTCCTATTAGCAGAGTGGTTCTGTTGGCAGTGAGGTTCTTTTAGCAGCATGGTAAAAAAAGACCCTCTAAGTTCTACCAAGCTCCTGGTAGAACTTAATGTGTGCACAACTTCATACATGAGGTCCCAGCTCTGCCACAGCCCACATTTAAAGACGGAAGCAAAACTGATGTGTACTATAGAGAAAATCTGTCTTCTGCTGCACACAGTGTGTATTTATAACAAGAAAATAAAATGTGTGGCCACCACACCCATTCTTGTTGTGATGCCTTGTATACACATGCAGTTTAGGTCTGAAAGATAAACTGATGGGGGAAGTGAAAATAAAAAATAAAGTTTGCTATTTTATATGAGCGAGAACCCTTTTCTTCTTTTTATTGTATACACTTGGTTGAATGTTGGTCCTTAAACGACTGCAGTCATGCATCACTGGATGCTCGAGTTTGTAAACCAGTACTTCCAGACTCATCTGTTGACACCAGATAATGTTTGACTTGTGGTTACAGACCGGCAACGCTGCACCATCGTTTTTGTTGCTGATCAGTGTCTGAATGGCAGTTTTTTTTAAATTTTTTATTGTGGTTGTTTGCTGTTGCTTTAATTGTGTGCACGCAGTCTGGATGCAAACAGTGTGTTTATTTTTGAATGGAGGTTCATTGACATCCTTTATGAAGTGAAAATCAAAAAATCAAAAACATTCCTCATCTTCACATTCAGAAAGAGAACCATGTGCACTGGCAGTTTTAGAAATCTGTCATGGAAAATGTGTAGGCACATCAATGATGCAGTGCGTACACACACTTAGCCGTGAAGCTTCAGAGTCTCATGAATCCAGTGTCTCATGGAGAAGAAGAGAAGGAAGTCCTTTAAAATGTCTGTCATGATAATATTACCCGTTTGAGACAACATTTTCTTTTGACTTGCTTGACAAGCTGATCTATGTTCATTCAGGTGGTGAATAAGGGTTCTCCTCACCAACACAGCAGAAGCAGCAGCAGGGCTGTTGGACTTTTGAGGGAGTTGCACAAGTTTAGATTAAATTTAATTCAGTTCATTATGTCACTACACATTAAGCCTGTTGGTTCTGGACTGTAGACATCTGAAGCAGTCCCAGAGGGTTTGTGGAGAAACAGTTTCTGGGCTGGGTGTGAGGCATTTTTGATGTTGTTGCCTGTTTTTTGTAGACAATTCTTTCTCCAGATGCCCTTAATGGCAGGACGTGGATTGCAAGTGATGCTTTAGTTGGTCGACATGATCTTCTGCAATGCTTTCCAGGCTGTCACAGAACAGTTACAGTACCTGGCTGTGATAGAGCTAGTCAGAATCCTCTGGGTGACACAGCAGTAGAAGTTCACCAGGATGGCTGTGAAAAGGTGTTTTTTTTCCTCAGTGTTCTCAAGAAGAAGCGACCCTGGTGAGACTGGACCAAACTGGACATGTTGGTTGTCGAGGACAGGTCTGTTAATATGATGAAGAATTTGAAGTTGGTGGAGCGCTCAGCTGCCATCCTATTGTTGGAAGTATGCACTTCATCTGCCTTAATCCGGAAGTTCATTATGAGCTCCTTGAACTTTCTTGTGTTATAGAGCAGGTGATTGTAACCGTATAGCTAGTTGCTCTATGTCCTCTCTGTAGGCCAACTCATTGCTAACTTTGACGTACCATACCATACCACTTTATTTATAAAGTACTTAAAACAGCTACAAGGCCAACCAAAGTGCTGTACAGACAAAACAACAGGTAACACACAAAGCAAAATACAAAATGAGGTAAATCAGAATATAGACATAAAAACGATGCAGATAATGACGACAAACCAGTGTGGAGCATACAGGATCAAAACACAGATCATCTGGAGTTGAAAGTTACTGAATAGTAGTGAGTTTTTAAACGGGACTTGAAAACCGAGAGGGAGGGGGCCTGTCTGACAAACAAAGGTAACTCGTTCCAGAGTCTTGGTCCTGCTAGAGAGAAGGCCCTGTCACCTCTGCGCTTAAGACGAGTTCCTGGAACTGTGAGGAGCAACTGGTCCGCTGACCTCAGGGAACGTGGTGGGACATACGGCTGTAGCAGATCAGAGAGATGGGGGGGCGACACTGTTCAGTGATTTGTAGACATACATGAGTATTTTGAACTGGATTTGAAAGTGAACCTGTAACCAGTGCAGTGAGGCCAAAACTGGTGTAATGTGCTCTCTTTTGCCTGTACTGGTTAAAAATTGGGCTGCTGCATTCTGGACCAGTTGTAGTCGTGCAATGGAGGTCTGACAAGGCCAGTCACTGCATTTTCTACAAACTTGATGATGTTATTAGAACCACAGACAGGTCTGCAGCCAAAGGTGGAGAGAAAGTAGAGAAAGGGGCTCAGCACACAGCCTTGTGGCATACTAGTGTTCAGAATGATAGTTCTTGAGGGCTTCTTGGTCAGAAAGTCCAGTAGCCAAATGAAGAGGGTACTGAGACCTTCAAATTTAATGATTACATTGGAGAGGAGAACAACTGAACAGAGATGGGAATCTTTAGGCACCTCATGATTTGATTATGATCCAGAGGACTGTGATGTGATAAGAAAACTATAATCAATGCTTCCATGATCACCTCAAACAAAATCCTGAGCACAGAATCTCTCTGACCTAAAATAAACAGAATATTTTTGCTCTATATTGCAGTATAAAACAAGTTTCATTCCTACAAGTTTATGGGAAATAAACTAGTAATCATTCTGAGTATTACATAAGATTATGTGGCAATGGATGTCCATGCATCACATTAAAGGTATCTGATCCAATTTCTTCTGTGTTTCTATGACTATTTGGTCCTTAAAGTGTGGGATTGGCTGGGTTAGTGTCTTAGACATAATAAAATTGGATTTTAAGGCACACAATATTCTATTACTTACATCTGCTGATATAATACCATGCTGCAAACATTTTGAGACATTCTGAAGACTCTTAGTAAGTAAACACCAATGTCTGCAGCTCAGTGAGATATTACTTTTCGCAGCGGCATCAACACCAACCAGGAGATTTTCCTCTTTCTCCAAGTGGAAACATATACATAAGTTGCATGTAATGTGGCTCTTGTGAACATTATTTTTCCCTTTCATTTTATAGAAGCTGAAGTACTTCTAAATACCAGGTTTCAAAGCAGGAAAAGCCACTTGTTTGTAGCTTCTCTGCTGTGAATACTCTAAACAGTCCGGGCACTGCACTTCCTCACTTCAGAGTTCTGCCTTTTGCAAGTGGATACGGAACATTAACCACAATTAATAATCTATTTTTGACGTTTTAAAAACAATTCAGAATGCATTCAGTGAATTCACAATGTATCAGAATTAGTTTATAATCCACACCCCTAGTGTTGAATGCTAAGCTGAAATTTCAAGCAGCATTTTTGCATGAATGTGAGCACTGCATGGTGGTAGTCACTTTGACCTAGGATTTTAGACAGCAGTACAATGGAGGTGGTTTGGAAGCATGCTGGCACAGTTCGGCCCGTGGATTCAAGCCATCAGCTCCAAACACCTGTCCTATCAACTTCACTTTTGGTAGGAACAGAGGTGGTTGCGCTGAGCTCTCTCTGCTCTCTGCAGACAGTCTGCATGCACCTGCCAGCCTGTCCGCTCCCCTTTAACCTCCCAACAATAGCTCATCTCTGCATAAATGGGACTTGTTTTTCACTGAGCTCCAACAGAGGCGGTCGAAGTGAAAATCCCTGGAGATGTGCAATGTCACAAACACAAACCAGCCCGTCTGGTGCTTATAATCATGTCGCTGTCCGAGTCAATGAAATCACTCTTTTCCTCGCTGCCCTCTGTGAAATGAATGGATGCTGCTAACCTGTATCCCTCTGAGTTTAAACATCAAACTGCTGCAATGTGATTAGTTGTTTTTATAATCTGTTGTGTGTTTTTCACACACTTGAAGTTACATTTAAATTATTTTACAACCTTGTAAAGACCAAATCATTGTTATTATGTCCTGATGTGTAAAACCCTTAAATTGAGTTAGAATAAACTTTTTCCCCATGGCTGTATCTGTATTTATATGTCATTTTTAATTCCTCTTTTCTAAAAGCGTCGGAGTGGGATAGACGAGGGCACTGTGCATGTGTGGGAATATAGATGTAGAGGTAGAAAATAGATGAGAATCAGGCCATCAGCTCATGTGTTTCACTGCTCGTAAGCCATTGTGAAAAGAGGATTTAGGTCTGGAGTGTAAAAATCTGAGTACATAATTACTTTGAGAAGTAGTGGACTGTGAGAACTATTAACCTCTAAAGAGAGTTGTGATCAGAGCAGCTCAGAGTGGGTCGTCCTCGATCCGCTCACCGCCGTTGCTGTGCTGTTAATAAGGAGATGTGCTGTCTGCTTCTCTGTCTCCCATTCTGTCACAGATGAGCACAAGATGAAAGGGATGGAGAAAGTCAAGTACATCGATGGAGAGGATGCAGGAGTGGACAGCCCCGATGGCACAGTGCGTGATTCCTCTTTTGTTTTTTTGTACTTAAGTTTGATGTCTCCAATTCATTCAACCTTTATTTATACAGATTAGTCTTATTGAGTCACGAGGACTCCTTTACAAGAGAGACCTGATTTTAACAAAAACCATACATGTGGTGCACAAAACAATAAACATTCAATGAAACGTATAAAAAAGAAGTGATATAAAACAAAAATATAAACAGCTACTTTATAAAACGGTATAAGATACTAAAAACAGGAACATGTCTGCGTTGGTTTTTCCCATGAACTAAACAGATGTTTGAAGCCACTTAGAGAGGTCAAGGTCGAGAGCTTCAGATCTTTTGTAAGATATTCCAGGAAACAGGAGCGGAGTAGGAGAAGGCCCTTTTGCCTAGTTCAGTCCTCACTGAGGGAACACTGCAGGTAATCAGGTGGTTCTAGACACCCCCACCCAGTTTCCAAAAACTACGGTTGACCCCTCAAATAATTCATGAGAAAACTAATTTTAGGTAATATAAACAAAAGGAAGCATAGCCACCATTTATATATAGGCATTACTATGCATGTATGCCATTCAAAAATCTTTAATGCCAACATTGGTGTTTTACACGTTTCCATGGCAACATCAGAGTGCTGCCTACATCTCTCTGTGTTCCTGATTAATTTTTTCATTTTGGACTTCATTATTGTGTATGGATCCAACTTTTATGTTTGGCAACCTGTTCTTATAGTATATAGTTTATTTTTTTGTAAAAGGAAGAAGCGTTCATTGTAAGTGACATGATCGCATGACCAGGAAGTGAATCAAGCCCCTTTCTTGCAGAGGCGGGTGGGAAAAGTTGTTCAGTGCTCCTGTTTTGTTTCTGCAAGTTGTCTACCTGGTAATGAATGTTTAATTTTTATTTCATTTCACAACTGTACATTTGACTGCATCTTAAGGGACCCCCCCCCCCCCCCCCCTAAAATAACTTTTTTTAAAGTCATTGTTTACCACCAATAAGGTGGGATTTCCATCCTAGCCTAGGACTGTTGAACAGCTAGAATCCTCCATTAGCCATGAATGGGACAACACTGTCCTCCAAACCTCCAGCAGCTGCTTCCTGCAGTTCCTAGATGTTTAATGATGTTTAAAGAACAGCGGATGCTTCACGGAGGACAACATGGTCCTCAAACAGCTTTTTTTCATATTGCTGTCATCAAATTCAAAATTATGTTGCATTTTCTATAAATGGAACAATTACTAGTTTAATCCTCCTTCTGCCCTTGTGTCGAGACAACTCTTGATTTGCAAACTCTTGCATTCAGTTTGTATTTTACATAATGTCCCAACTTTTTTCAGAATCGGGGTTGTACTCACCTAGTAGGTTTTTCCTGCTGTCCTTCTCCCCACCCCCACCCCCCACACTGTGTTAACCCATACTTTCACTACTCTGTCAGGCTGTGACCGGATCACTTCTGTGCTAGGTTGATTACATAACCTTGTCATAACCTCAGCATGAGGCCAGCGTGTCCAGTTCTTCTTGATGACCAGGCCATACTGGTTCCTCGAGCCTCAAGCCATATATTGCCACCATGTTGATAAATCACCACAACCTCGGTTCGTTGTGAGTTTTGTGCTGGTTCTGGCTTTTTTAAAGTGTAGCAGGGTCATCATCCAGTGTGACCAAACAGTTGGTGACCTATTTATTGTGGTCAGGAGTGTAGCTGCTGCAAAACATCTGAAACGTGCAGGAAAGTGGCCCCTGAGGACCTGGGCTGGGGGATCACTTCTCTACAGTGCATAATTCAAGAAATCTGGAGAATTGCTTGTGCATGAAGGGAGAAAGTCTAAACCAGACACCTGTTAGCTCTGAACCCACAGACAGCTCTGCATGAAGAAGTCTCATTCATCACCAGCACAGTTCCATTCACAAGCGCCACATGAAACTCTACTGTGCAATAAAATAAACAGTTTTGTCAACTTCTCTGGACTCTAATGCATCTGAAATCACATAGTAGAAAAACACTTACCGTATTTTCCGGTGGACATGTCGCTCCGCCCTATAAGTCGCATCAGTCCATATTTGTCTAATAAAGTGGAAAAATCCATAAATATGTCGCTTCGCTGTATACATCACATCTATTATGCGTCACCGCTGACGTGTCGCGTTTGTTACGCGTCACTGCTGACAACCCGGAAATGTGGACTGGTGTTGTGCCAAAAACTGATGGGCTGCCAAATGGCGGCCGTGGGAGCGTGCACAAGAGGACTTTAACAAGAATTTAACAAGATTAACACCTAAAAACAATTATTTGTTTGCTCGAAATTATAGTAAATGTGTGTCTCAGTCTAACATTTGCTTAATAAATGTCCTTTAATGGTCAGCTCAGCTTTATTTAAAAAATAGTTTAGCTGCTTCAGTGCTCCATGAATGCGCAGAGGACAAGAAAAAGTTATGAGGAACGGCTCGTTTCACCAAAATTTAACAAGAAAAGCACCTAAACAATTGTTTGTTTTCTCGAAATTATAGCAAGGTGTTTCTCAGTCTAACATTTGCTTAATAAATGCACTTTAATGGTCAAATCAGCTGCATTTTGCCAGGGTGGTGCAGCTGTTTTGACGGCTCCAAGCAGAGAGCAGAATGAAGGTGGGGAGACTGTGGCAGGCAGATTGAGTCATTAAAAGCTGGTGAATATTCTCAGTCATTCAGGACATGGTAAATTCAAAAAAGTTCAATAAAAAACAAAGTATAGCCACGTTTACCTATTATATGATACAACAGCATGCCATACAGGTATTACTACTATGCTGCCATCAAGTGGCTGAAAGTGGTACTGCCCTTTTTTATTTTTATTTTTCCCAGTCAGAATGAATGGAAACGGTCGTATCTCAGCCAAACAATGGTTTATAAATATGGGAAAAAAATCCATAAATATGTCACTTCGGCCTATAAGTCGCAGAGCATGTAAAATATGCAAAAAAGTGTGACTTATCGGCTGAAAAATACGGTAGGTAAATCAATGTTTTCATTTTTGGGGGGAATGGATGTTATGGGTTTTTACCAAGAAAAGGAAGAAGAGAGTACCTAACAGATCTGCCTCTAGTCTGACAAGTGTGTGAGAAAATTGATCCAGAAAAATGCACCAATGTAACTGCTGTAGCATACTTTGGAAACACGTTTTAGACAGAATGTGACAAAATAACACACGAAACTCCTCATTACTCACTATCTCCAGTCCCAATATTTCTTTGAATTGCAGTGAGAAGGAATGAAATCAGCAAAGTGGTTTTATTCTTTTTGGAGGGGACTGTGCTGTGGTTTATTTTGTCTAAAAGAAATAATATGAAAAGAACCAAAGCATTGCCTTTTTCATTACATTTATAATTTCGAGTTATTTACAGTTGTGTTTATTGATTCTTTTTATTTAGTTAACTGCAAGAACAGGTTATAATTTGATGTCTCGTGACTCGTCTGATTAGGTTTCAGTGGAAGCTGCTGCAGTTACTGAGGAACTGTGACTTCCTGACGGGTTTCTGGCGGTCACTGATTAGTGTGTGTTGTCAAAAGAAGGTTAAATCATTTAATCTGGACCAGTTTCTTTAAGGGAGAAACGTTTCACCTTCCATTCGGAAGACTTCATCAGTCTGTGGCCTGCCAACCAGATCTGGGCCAGATGAAATGATTTAACCTTCTTTTGTTATCTACCTGGATGATTGAGCCTACAAACCTTGTGTGTTGTCCTGCAGGAGAAGAGCGCTCTTCTTGGTAAAGGACAACAGATGAATGAATCGGGACTGAATGGAAAGATTTTGTAAGTCCTGCCTGACTTGATGATGATGATGATGATACTTCAGATTTACAGGTGCATCTCAAAAAATTAGAATATTGTGGAAAAAGTTCAATTTTTGTTGTCAATTACTTCAGAAAGTGAAATTCATATTTTCCATAGATTCATCACAGAGTTTAATATTTTAATCGTTTATTTCTTGTTATTTTGATGATTATGGCTTAAAAATAATGAAATCTGAAACTCTGGTTCAGGAGTGGCTTGACTTGAGACATTTGTAGCTCATGTCTAGGAGCTAATTCAATTCAGTTTATTTATACAGCGCCAAGTCACAACAGGAGTCATCTCAGGGCACTGAACAGAAACATTCATATACATAAAAATTTAATTGGTAACATTATCTAGCTAAGGAAGCCAGCAGATCGTGTTGTCTTCACTTCGTCACAGTCTCCCATCCTGAACAAGCACAAAGGAGACAGTGGAAAGGAAAAACTCCCTTTTAACAGGAAGAAACCTCCATCTGAACCAGGCTCAGGACGAGTGTCCATCTGTTTCGACCGACTGGATTTGAGAGAACAGGAAGGAGGAATGACTGGTCCAGAATGGAGGCAAGCAGGAGGCAGGTCCCTCTCCAGGGGGAAAGACAAAAACAAAAAACATGTTACCAATACCAATTTACCAATTTATTTGTAAAGCACTTTAAACAGTGACAAAGTACACCAAAGTGCTGTACAGGGACAAACAGAACAAGCACACAGCAACAGATTACATAACAGGACACCAAAAAG